TTATGATAAATTAATTTTTTACTTTGAAAGTAAAGTATCTGTATATACAGATACTTGGCAAATGGTTTTATATAAATATAGAACGGTATTTTACTTACTTTGTATAAAGTAAACAACCGTGAGGGCTATACTTTAGTAGCAAATTGCTTAAATTCTTTGAAATAACCACTGTTAGCATTCTGATTATTTTTCTTTCTACTGTCTTTCCCAGGTATGTATCCTTTTATACCTAGTTGGAATTATAGTATGCATATGCTTTTTATATCCTGCTTCAGGAAAAAAACCCTACACTCTGTAACATGAATGATTCAACAAGAGAAATAGTCAACACATGTGGGTTGATAACACTATTTAGGGAGCTCTACCACCCTTTGGGAGAAAAACATGCTAGAATCCAAGTAGAAAAATAGTGAAACATGAATAGGGTTTTCCACAGGGGAAACAAATGGTTAATTGATGTTTATTTTATTTTATTAGACATAGGGTCTTGCTCCGTTGCCCAGGCTGGAGTGCAGTGATGCAATTTTGGGTTCAGGCAATTCTCCCACCTCAGCCTCCTGAGTAGCTAAGATTATAGGCACCTGTCACCATGCCTGGCTAATTTTTGTATTTTTAGAAGAGATGAGATTTTATCATGTTGGCCAGGCTGCTCTCAAACTCCTGACTTCAAATGATGGGAATATAGTGTGGGCCACCAAGTCCAGCCATATTTTATTTTTGGTAGAGATGGATCTTGCTGTGTTACCCAGGTTGGTTGTGAACTGGCCTCAAGTGATCTTCCAACCTAGGCCTTCCAAAGCCTGGGGATTATGGGTGTTAGCCACCACGCCTAGCTGAAAAACAGTTAATTAACCATGTAAGATAATCAGTTTCATTATTGAAAGTATTGCAAATTAAAGCAGGGATACCATTTCCCTTGATCAACTTAGCAAGCCTTATTTTCTTTTTGATGATCTTATTATTTGTTGGATAGGTTACATGTAAATTGGCATAAATATTCTGGAAAGCAGTTTGGAAACACATCAGGAGCTGTATATTTGTTTACTAATTATATTTTTTCATTTGTAAATATCTTACGTCTTTTCCTTCTCACATGGTCTTAATTTTTTCTTTACTCAATTATATTGAGCATTTTCAGTAATAAAGATGACTCTATGCATCTTATTTACAAATCCCTGTTGTTTGCTTTATTGTTTTTAAGCTTCTAAGTGTTTTATATTTTTTTAATGCAGTAGTTTTGTTGATCTGTTCCTTTGTGATTCTGTTATACTCCTAGATTTGAGAAGTCATCCTCACTTAAGAGGTTGTATATGTTCAATTCTGTTTACTTTTGTTTAGCTGGTTTAAAAAAATATTTAAAGTGTAATTCTATCTAGGATGTATTTTGATTCTTAGATTGAATCTTTCTCAGCATTTTTAAGTGGATTCTGATATCAGCTGATCAATCCTTTCTCCCCCAATTTATCTGTGAAGCCTCCTTTAACATTTGTTGTGACACACTATTTCTGGACTCTATTTTCTGAACTATGTAATTTCTTTCTACGATCTATTTTCCCTTTTGCCCTCTGTTTTAGTTATTTTAGTCTTATAATATTGGTTATAATCTCACCTTTTTTTAGAGGTTCTTGCTTAGATATTTCCTTAGTTGAACTTTAAAACATTTAATCAAGTTAGAAAAACCAGTGAGGATTTGCATAGGAGATACATTCAACAATATATAAATTAATTTCTTTAAAAAAAAAAAACAGCATTTCAATATTTTGACTTGTCATCAAAAGACATGTTATATCTTCAAATCTGCTTTAAAAAATGTCTTTGTGGACCAGGCATGGTGGCTCATGCCTATAATCATAGCACTTTGGGAAGCCTAGGTGGGCAGATCACTTGAGCTCAGGAATTCAAGACTAGCCTGAGCAACATGGCAAACCCCATCTCTACAAAAACTAAAAAAATTGACAGGTTTGATGGCATATGCCTGTAGTCCCAGCTACCTGGGAAGCTGAGGTGGGAGGATCATTTAAACCGGGGAGTTTGAGGCTGCAGTGAGCCAAGATCACTGCAATAAGCTGCGATCGTGCCACTGCACTCCAACCTGGGTGACAGAGCGAGACCCTGTCTCAATAACCAAAACAAAACAAAAACAAAAATCTTTGTGAATTTTTCTACTTTTTAAAAATATTGGTTAGATACATTTTCCATTATGCTTATCTGTCTATATTTTATACTGTTGTTAGGAATAGGATCTTTAAAAACTGTATTTTTTTGCTGGTGCATAGAAATATTATTGCCTTTCTCGTGCTTATTTGATTAGTCACTATGCTGAGACCATTTTAATTTATGTTGTTTGTTAGATGACTGCTTTGGGTTTCTGAGGTCATACAGCCATTTCATATGCACCTAAGAATCATTTTGTCTGTTTTCAATGTCTGCTTTCTGTTTAATTGGCCAGACCTGACTTTTTTCTTTTCTTTTCTTTTCTTTCTTTTCTTTTTTCAGACAAGGTCTCGCTATCACTTGGGCTGGAGCTCAGAGGCTCACAGCAGCCTTGACCTCCTGGGTTCAAGCGATCCTCCCACCTCAACCCCCCAAGTACCTGCGACTACAGGCACACACAACAATGCCCAGCTAGTTTCACAGTTTTTAGTAGGGTCTCACTATGCTGCCCAGGCTGGTCTCAAACTCCTGGGCTCAAACAATCCTTCCACCTTAGTCTCCCAAATTACTGCAGACGTGAGCCACCATGCCCGGGCTGGCAAGATCTTTCATGATGATATTCAGGGATACTGGTGATGAAAGGCATCCTTACTTTGCTCTTTGTTTTAAAAGGAAAGCTTCTTCTATTACCTTGATGTTGCTCCTGGAATGTGTGATGAGATCTGTCTACTCCTACCCAAAGGGGCTGGTGTAATTCACAACGACCCCAACAAAACTTCTTTCCAAGCCCTTCACATGTCTGTCACAAAGCACTAGAGGGCTTGTTGTTTGGAAGTATCACGCTTTTTAGGATCCAAACTCTGAGCCCACAGTGCCTGTTTGCTTTCAGCTCAGCCCTTGCTCTCTCTCTTCTGAAAGCCTGACTTTTGGGAACTTGATCCTCTCTGGCAGGACTTAGCACTCTCTCCTGCCACCCCCACCTGCTGATAGAAGAGCTGGTGCTTGACATTGGACAGCCACAGGGCTGGGTTACCAAGTGTAGTCCTGGACTAGAGGAGATATTAACAACACCCCTTATAGGCTGCCTGGCAGAGGAGCCCTGTGGACTGTCAGTCATCTGGACTTTGGCCCTTTACCCACCAGTCCCTTCCCCTCCCCCATCCCAAACTACCTCTGTGAGGTCAACTGGAACCTCTGCCTTGCCTATGAGCCTGCTGGACTTCTGGTATTATGCTCTGGGGTGGGAGGTCTTCCCAGTCCACTGGGAAAACAGCACAAAAAGGGGTTAATACAATACAGGGTGAAGAGGTCTCATTCGCATTATATGAGGCTCAGCTCCTGAAGCAACTGACTGTTTAGGACAGTCAGAGAAGGCTTCATGGAGGAGGTGACATTTGAGCTGGGTCTTGGAGCAAGAGTAGAAGTTCTATGAGGCAGATGAGGGAGAAAGACTTCAATTGAGATTATTTCCGTGCATTTTGTATTATGGTTGCTGTTAGGAATAGAATCTTTTAAAACCATATTTTATTGTTGGCATATAGGAATATTAGTGAGTTTTGCATATTTATTTTGGAGCAATCTTCAAAGGCTTAGAAGCCTGGGAGAGCCAGGCCTCTTTGGGGAAAAGATGAGAGTTTTCTGAGATAAATGGGGTGGTGCTGTCGGAGTCAATGAGCGCTGCTGGGGCTCAGGGGTTGGGGGCTGACTAGCAACAGGGGTGACCCAGAAGACTTCTGGAAGAAATGGGATGGAAGCTGGCCTGGAAGCATAAAGAGGCTTTAGTTTGTGTGGGAAGAGGAGGTAAAGTAGAAGGAGAGGTAAAGTGGAATGCTACACATATTGTAGCATTCCTGATAAGTATCTTCTAGGTGCTTTGTTTTTGTTTGTTTGTTTTGTTTTGAGATGGAGTCTCGCTCTGTCACCAGGCTGGAGTGCAGTGGTGCCATCTTGGCTCACTGCAACCTCTGCCTCCTGGATTCAAGCAATCATCCTGCCTCAGCCTCTCGAGTAGCTGGGACTACAGGTGGGCGCCACCACACCCGGCTATTTTTTGTGTTTTTAGTAGAGACGGGGTTTCACCGTGTGGGCCAGGATGGTCTTGATCTCTTGACCTCATGGTCCTCCCGCCTTGGCCTCCCACAGTGCTGTGATTACAGGTGGGAGCCAACACGCCTGGCCTGGGTGCTTTGTTAGTCATTATTTTGCTACATTTAATTTTTCCCAGCAGCTCTGCTAGGCAGATGATAGTACCTTCATTTTACAGACGAGTGTATATGTACCTAGGAGTGAAGTGACTGGGTCACGTGGTAACTATGTGCTCCGTGTTTAACCATTTGAGGACCTGCCTGACTGTTCTGCACAGCGGCTTTCCGCTGCTTCTTGCCTTCATTGAGACAGGACTAGGAAGAAGATCAAACACAAAGTCTGTGTGAATTGCCTGTTTTCAAAGAAGTAGACTATTGTGAAGCACTCTTTAGATTGCATCTTCGCTGTTGAGTCTTTGATGGTTCTAAAGGGACTTGTGGATTCTGCAGGGTCTCAAGGGCACTGCTATGAATGTCGGTGGTCTTGTGCCGGCAGACACGATTCCGGCTAGTGGGCTGTGGCAACAGAGACAGTGCTGGTACAAATCCTTAAGTTCAGGGTGTGAGTGAGGGACAGGTGTGAGTTAATGCCTATGAGGAAGTCTCCTGGAAGATGGAGGGCAAGCTCTGAAGCCTGGTCCAGGGGAGACAGGTGGGAGGGCAAGGTGGCTGGAAGGGGACATGGAGGTAGGGTCCCTGTAAGTCAAGTTTTTGGGTATCTGTGGTTGATAACTCTGGTCTGTCTGTGTTCTTTGGCTGCAGACCTGGCCGAGTGCAAGCTGGTCTCCTTTCCCACTGGCATCTACAAGGTCCTGCGGAATGTCTCTGGCCAGATCCACCTCATCACCCTGGCTAACAACGAGCTCAAGTCCCTCACCAGCAAGTTCATGACCACGTTCAGTCAACTCCAAGGTAGGCCCTGGTCAGCTCCAGTGAGGAGGGCATAGCTAGCCCTCATCCTTCAGGCTCTGACCCTGTCTGGGGAGGGCCACAGATCCGTTCCATGGTTAGCGATACCCATGAAGTCATTCACATGGTAGACTTTGAAAATGGACCTGTGCTCTCCCTGCAGCTTGGAACTCTCTAGGTCACTTCTGCCTCTAGCTGGCTGTGAAGCAGATTGATCAAGGGTCAAGGGTGTGGGTGCTGGAGTGATGCTCTTGTTCTGAACAGACCAGCAGGGTGTTTGGGTCTTAAGGCCCCAGGAGTTGTTATTTCTCAGTAGTCTTGAATGAGCTCCCTTCTCACCTTCCCATCTAGCATTGTTCTCCTGTGTTGCTCTCTCAGTTCAGGAGTGACAGATGCCAGGGATGTTGGCATTTTCTGTGCGGGGCATATGCAGAGCGCATGGATGTGGTGCTTGGCATGGAGGTGGCCCTCGTAGATGCTCTAGAAATGGTTCCTCTGGATGGACGGGCGGTGTGCCCTGACTGATGCCATACCTGCCCTCTTCTGCAGAGAGCAGTCCTTCCATCCTTCTACGAGAGGTCACTGCTCTTCAGTTACCCATGTGGCAGAGCTGCAGTGTAGGTGCCTTTTGTGGATTTGTGAAAGGGTGGAGTGGGAGAATTGCAGGGGACACAGGAAGCCTATGAGGGGCAGATCCTGCTTCATCCCAGACTCACATGGACCCCACCTCCATGCCCCCTTCCAGCCTCCTTGCCCTCCCACCTGTCTCCCCTGGACCAGGCTTCAGAGCCTACCCTCCATTTTCTAGGAGACTTCCTCATAGGCATTAACTCACGCCTGTCCCTCCCTCACATCCTGAACTTAAGGTACCAGTAGCGTCTCTGTTGCCACAGCCCACTAGCCGGAATCATGTCTGCCGGCACAAGACCACCGACATTCATAGCAGTGCCCTTGAGACCCTGCAGAATCCACAAGTCCCTTTAGAACCATCAAAGACTCAACAGCGAAGATGCAGTCTAAAGAGTGCTTCACAATAGTCTACTTCTTTGAAAACAGGCAATTCACACATACTCTGTGGTTTGATCTTCTTCCTAGTCCTGTCATGCTGAAGGCAGACCTCGTACAAGAAGCAGCTGGGAAGCCACCGTGCAGAACAGTCAGGCAGTTCCTCAAATGGTTAAACACAAAGTGACCATATGACCCAGTCATTCCACTCCTAGGCAAATACCCAAGAGATGTAAAAACATACATCCATGTTGCCAGACATGGTGACTCACGCCTGTAACTCCAGCACTTTGGGAGGCCAAGGTGAGTGGATCACCTGAGATCAGAAGTTCGAAACCAGCCTGGCCAACATGGCAAAACCCTGTCTTTACTAAGAATTCAAAAATTAGCTGAGTGTGATGGTAGGCGCCTGTAATCCTAACTACTGGGGAGGCTGAGGCAGGAGAATCGTTTGAACCTAGGAGGCGGAGGTTGCAGTGAGCTGAGATTGTGCCATTGCACTCCAGCCTGGGTGACAGAGTGAGACTCCATCTCAAAAAAACAAAACAAAAACAAAAAAAACCCATACATTCATGCAAAAACACATTACACACGGATATTCATGGCACCATTATTCACCACAGCCTGAAAGGCGGAAAGTGAATACTCCCCAAATGTCCATCAACTGGGAAATGGGTCCACAAAATGTTGTCCCCCCATGAAAGGGAATATCATCCAGGATCTGGGAATGCTGTACATGATAGGAATATGAAAAGGGTCTAAGATCCTGTTTAAGAGAAAAAAATATATAAAATGCTGATAGTGCATGAGGGACCTGAGCAAGCCTATCTCATAGGGCTGACATACCTCCTGGAGGAGGTGTGGGCATTGGGCAGGCCAGAACGGAGAGGGTGGATGAAGTGGCAAACACAGTGAAGGGACAGTGCCTCAGGAGGAAGCTATAAGCAGGACCTGGAAAGGCCACCATGCAAACAGAAGGACGAGGAGGAGGAATTAGTCTATATAGCTGTTTCTGAGTGAAGCTCACAGAGCTTGTTACACCTGTGGCTGGAAAGCTAAAATCCCTATGACTTGTGGGACAGGGAGAGGCTCCTAGGGCAAGGATTACTCTGGAACTTTCCAGGCCATGGCTGCCTTTCCAGGCCATCTGTGTTAGTCCAAGGGTCCTCTAGTGCTGTACCCAGCCAACTGGGATTGGATGTTTGCTTTCCCAAGAAGAATAGAATGATTGAAAATGGAGGGTGGGGCTGTATGGGGCCCCCGGGAAGGGCACAAACAGGCCCTTTGGGTAAGAGGAGAGCTCACTTGTGCTTTTCCTTCATTAGACATTCCCTCAAACACCTGCTTCTCCCAGACCTAGGTTAGGAGGCTCAGAAACCAAGGCAAGTCCACAAAAGTCTCTCCCTGTGGAGGCTAGGATTGCAGGACAGATTGTCCTCACCGCTCAGTGCTGTGATACGGGTATGGAGAAAATGCTGGAAGGGACAGCTGGGAAGAGGAATGAATTCTTCCCGAGAGTGGCATGGGTAGGGCCTGGTTATGGACGCAAGAGCTTTGAAAGTGCTTGACATTTGGGGACTGCCTTGTGAGATGAATAATTAGGCCCTCTCCAGAAACTACAGGGGAAGGTGCCAGAGAAATGCCACTTAGCCCGTGCATCTGTGGCTACAGAAATGTATTTACGTAGTACCTCCGGTCAGAAGTCTATTGAAGATGCTGTTTGAACTCCTTCCCTGCCGCCAATGGCTCTTGACTCCCTCATGCTGCCTCAAATCACAAAGAGAAGGCCAACTGTGCCTGCTAATTGAATTCACAGAGGCAGTGGATTGAAGGATGTGGTGGCCGGCAGGGAGGGGCAGGAGCAGAGCACCCCACTGGATTCTTCCCCCAACCCTGAGAGATGGCTCTGGGCCTGAGCCTTTATTGTGGTTTCTCTTTCAAATAGAAAAGCTCTCTTCTTGCATGTGTGAAGGGCCTGGCTGAGCTCAGCAGGCCTTCTGTGTCCTCCTATGGGTACTTGACAGAGGTGGGCTGCCTTGGTGTGGGGCTGGGGAGGGAACAAGCTGCTTCCTCCCTGCCTGCCAAGCTGTCTTCCAGAGCTGCCCTGGGGACTCTTCTGCAAGGCCCAAGGCCCTGGTATGGGTGCGTCATCCCTAGATGATTCCATTCCCTTGAAGTCCTTCGTCCATTTTATGGAAGGAAAAAACAAGATGTGAGAAAGCCAAGGGCACAAATGGAATTGGTCTGATGGCAGGTGCGCCCTGCAGAGAGTGGGTCCCCATGCCCCGCTGTGGCTCTTCTGTCTCTTCTGTTCCTGTAACCCTCATTCCCCTCTTCCTCTAGTCTCAGCTCTTTTTAGCAAGTGCTAAATGCCAGGCCAGAGGTTTAGGAGACACACCTATGGCAATAAACAAAGACCACCCAAATGAGAAAAGCAAAGGCTATTTATTCAGAGCGTGTTATAGCGAAGGAGTCAGCCACCATCACTTGTGTTTCGGCGGAGACTCAAAGGCAGGCAGGCGGAGCCGTAGAGTGGAAAAAGGGAAGACCTCAGGTACTCTCTGATTGTTGGCATGGGGGAGTTCTAACTAGAGGCAGAGCATCCTCTGTGATTGACGAGGGTGGCATGATGGCTTTCTCTGGTTGGTCCTTAATTGGGAGTGGAGACAAAAGTCGGGAAGTTGTTATTTATTCATTGACTCCTGGGCACTTGGGACCAGTTGTTACAGGATTATTGTTTGGATGATTGCTAGAGATGGCTGTCTGACTTCGGACAAATCTGGCGTATGGCAGGCAGGCGTCCTGGTCAGTTACTGTAGATCATAGGTTGTTTCCTGGGCAGGCTTCTGCAGGTTGTGAGTGGAGTTCTGTTTTTATATTTGGCCTGGCCATTGTCTGTTTGTATATTCAGTCTCTCACACCCCTGCCCATCAAGTCAGTCCAGCAGATTCCCAGCAGCATCGGTTTTGGCATGGCTGTGGGGAGGCACAGGTGAGTGATAACAGCAGAGCCCAAATTCACAGGGTGCTCAGCTCTCCCGGCTCCACGCTGAGCATTCTCTGTACATCATGGCATTTAGTCCTGGTAGCACCGGTGGTCATTTGGGAATGATAAGAAAACTGAGAACTTGACATGGCCCTGGAGGAGCCCCCATCTTGCAGGGGAGGCAGGTTTATGAGCAGATACCACATCGTAATGTGAGGGGTGGTGCAGCAGACATTTGCCCATGGTCTGTGGGTGTCTGGGCGGTGGAAGTCAGGTTTGCTTTGGGTGAGTAGGGAATCAGAAAACCTCCAGAGGAAATGGCTAAAAGCAGGGATTTGACAGTTAAGTAGGGGTTTATCAGATAACTAAGGAGTTTCCAAAGCATCTTTTAGGGACAGTGAAAGGTATGTTTGGGAAATAACTAGAAAAATAACTAAAAAGCACAAGACTGAGTGTTACACAGCATAGGACTGACGTGTTGTTAGGGACTGGCTGGAGGGAGTCACCTGCCCTAGCAGGAACGTCTGGGAAGAGTCCTGGGAGGTTGGAAGGGGATAGGTGACATGGAAAAGGTAGAGAGAAGCATCCTAGCAGGGAGAAGCAGTGTGAGGCCAGGCCGGGAAGGCATGGAATAGGTAGGGCCTCGAAGCCAAGTCATAAGGGAGGTGCGAGCTCCTTCTGCCCTCCAAAGTGATGAGTTCCTTCGCTGGAGAGCCTGGGCCTGGGCCAGGAAGCCAGAGGCTGCTGCTGGGGCTGCGGCAGGCGTGGGGGGGCTTTGACTGGCCAGGAGCAGGCATGTGGGCTTGGGTGGACTGGCGGGCGGGCTGCTTGGGTCAGCTGGCATTAGGTCTCCATGGAGACTTGCTGACCCTAAGATCCTGCATCTGGGGGCAACACAGCCTGGCAGAGCTGGGCCCAGAGGGCTTGTGAGTCATTGTAGGGGAGCATCCAGCAATGTGGAGTTGAGACGTTCCCTGGGGCTCGTGGCTCATTTTCTCTGATTTTTCAACAGC